AAGTTCCACCTTGAATTTAAACATTTTTTTCTATCATTAAATGTTCTATCTTAAATTTAATGCATCAGTTTGGGCCTCTCTAGGGCCAAAGTTGCTATTGTAATAATTTATTTCAAATTACTAATATTCAGCACTAAGAGATACAGTCGAACAGGTAGTTTACATTAGCTATCACAGATTACAAATGTGCTGAATTATGTGGTAATGTATAAACTGTATTATACTTTGCAGCATAATGACGAAGAGTTTCTTGTGCACCAATTGTATCTACTCCACATTTTTCAAAGTTTTCATCTGATTATTTAGATAGTAATCGTACCGAAATTCTTTGTTGATCTAATTTCAATAAAAAATTCTGGTAATAATTTTCTGTGCCTTCACTTTCGTCTACCTGCTTTAAAAAATTACTAATTGTAGGTAAAGTCATTCCGACACTGGTAGCTGATTGAGAAGGTATTTGAATAGATGTTTGAAAAGGTGTTTCATAAATTTGAGAAGGAATGTATGGTGAAAACATTTGGAATTGATTATAAAATAGAGGTACTGCATATAGTTGTCCTGAACATTCTGGTTGTTGTATCAGATTAGATTGTAATGGTGATGTTAGCAATGATGATGCTTTTGTTTTTGAAGAATGTTTTATATATGAAAAGGCTGTTTCTATAGGGTTAAGATCAGGTGAATAAGGAGGGAGAAATTCTACACGTATACCAAATGCATCTAAATATTCTAACAATCTATCATCATGATGAATTCTTGCATTATCAAGTACTAAAACACTTCTTGCATGCGGATATGAATTCATTTGAGGTAGCTAATACCAATATAGTAATAATTACTGAATTAGAAATTCCAATTTATTACTTTCAATATTAAAAAATATATAATAATAAATATATTGTATGTACCACTTGAGAAATTACAAATTCCTTAAATCTTATTTTTGAACAACTACCCTCCATAATATCTACAGCAATAATACCATCCAAAGTAAGTGCAGGTAAAAGTGTATAACGTACACCACGAACAAATACTGTTTTTTTAACAGCTCTTGTATTTGTTTCGGAATAACCATATCCACGAGAAATTGTTCGTTCATCCTTAGATGATTCATCTAGAAAGACTAATTGTTAATGTTGATATTGAGTACCTATGCGTAACATAAAGGCACTACGAAGTAATTCATTGCGTTCTTTTGCTGCTTTATGTAACTAGAATAAAATATTATAAGATTTTATACTTTACTTATGTGGAGTATTTTAGATAAAATACCTTCTTTCGTGTTATTCCACAATAAGCTAATGAACACCAAAGGGTAGAAACTGAAACATGTTTTCCACACTGAATTTCCATTTGCAAAACAATCTTATCGAGGTACCAGTCCACTTTTTCTCGAATAATATTTCGTAATATCTATTTTGTATAATGCAAATTTTAGAGTAGAATTACAACTAGATATAAAAATAATAAATAATCTTTACGTTCATATTATTTCGATTGAAAATTTTATGTCTTCCAGGTATTTGTCACCAAGGATTAGTTATGGTTCCCCATTTTTTATATAGACGTAGTACTTTCTTCACCAAACCTTTACTAATATATAGAAATTTGGTGATTTGTGATTTAGAATAGCCATCATATTGTAGATAAATTATACGCCATTTCAAATCATCACTATATACTGGAGGCATGCTAACAAGAGTATTTTCAAAGTGAAACAAAAAAAAAAGATAAAACAGAAAAAAATAAATAATTTAACGAATTTCTGATCGGGTTACTGATTTCAAGTATGATTGCAATTTATTACGTAGATTCTCTATTAAATTCTCTAATTAGATTCTCTATTTAAAATTTCCCCCGCATCATTACAAAAATCATGGGGGTCACACCTTTTTGCAAACAGCGATAATATTTTGTATTGAGAATTCACGATAGATTTCTCTAGCCAAAGCTAAGTTACAAAAATTTTACAAGAATGAGATTTAGATTATCAGAAACTATCTAAACTAAAAATTCTGATTCATCTGCAACCTAAATCTACTAAAGTGATTAAAACTTACCTAGATTTGATAATATAAAATATTATTAGTTAGTATACTATATTTAATCTATATGATAGTCCATAATGATATTTTTCTAATTGCTTTTCTAAAGGGTGGACATGTGTTATTATCATGTTGTTGGTCAAGTAGCCTACAAGGGCAGCTGTATGTATATGGTATTCTGCAATATATTCTATTAGGATTAGTTGTTCTATAAGAAGTTTTTGAACTTCAATTAGGTCTGGAAGGTATATTATTTTGTTGTTTTCATTCTGAAAGTTTGACACAGTATAGTATTCATATCTAAGTATTGAAAAAAGACTAAACTAAGCCTATTAATAAAAATTTTAGTATATACTTTGCAAATATGCTCTATGAGGCTGATAGGCTGTATTAGGTTTAAGTTGTCATCAAAAGTAGTACGTTTAGAGATAAAAAAGATTTTCTATATTTCTATTATTTAGGTATTTGGCTAAAGATAAGACAATGATTAAACAAAGCAATAAGTGCTTAAACACTTGTTATACCTATATGCTTAAGCATTTCATAGCTTATAACAGTTGGGCTACAAGCTTTGCTATTTGGAATTTTAGCAATTGTATTTAAGACTTCTTCTTGAATAATTACTTCAGAAAAGGGTTATATTAAGCAGGATCAATATGAATTTATGAAGTATATTGTTGGTATCAAATATTTTGAAATAATATTTTATTGATAGATTTATATACTGTCCAGTTTTCAAAGTATATTTGAATATGCTCTTTGATTTTAGATAGTTTTGTGATTAATTTGTCTGGTAGCTTAATGTTAGAAAAATATATAAATGTATAATAATAGTTAAGAATACTGTTGATTGCTTGAGTTAGGCATAAAACTAAAGTTTCACATCTTTTTTCAGTAGCTTCTTGAATTTGTTGTCAAAGTAAGATTGAGTTTTCTATATGATGTACTTGATATAGTTGTTTTTAAATCTCTTGAGTATGTTTAATCTATTTTTCAATATGTAGTGGATTTGATGAGTTTAGTGATTATAAGTTGCAATTAACTTTATTATTTATATCATTAATGAAAGTATTTATAATTGCAGTTTTAGAGTTGTCATTGTTTGCTTTTTTGGCTAATTTGATTAAATGTCCAAGTTTTTTAAGAGAGAGGTATAGCAAGGTGCAGTGTGGAGTATATTGATGATTGTAGCTACATCTGCGACTAATTTTGTTAGGGATAATATGAATAGTGGTATTAATAATAGAATGCTCAATTTTGTGCCAAGTAGTTTCTAAGGTTTCTTGAGTATGTATATTAAGAGGAACTCAATGTTTGTTAAGTATTGAAGTTAAATGATCAGCAAATTCTGTCCACATGTCTTTGTTCATAGCTTTATAGTTAAAGATTCTGCAAGAGATACCTATATGTCGTCAGGGAGCTTTACTATATGCATTAAGAAATGTTCATAATAATGAGAGGATTAAATGATCACTTAAAGTACTTGTTTTACTGTTATCAAGACTATATGATAAGAGAAATTGTATATTAAATTGATCAGTCCATATATAGTCTATTCGACTCCTGCTTGTATTGTTAGACCAAGTGAAGTGTGTGTTGTTAAAATGTGCACCTAGGTCATAGAAGTTAGAGTGATATAGAAAATTGATTAACTTATATCTTGAGAATAAGCTATGAATACTATCTTGTATATTAAAATCACCAAGTATAATTGGATAAAGGTTTTGTTGAACTACTGATTGAATCCATTTAATGATTATGTCTTGTATATCACTTCTTTTAGTCATATCTGTAGATGATAGATATACTAATATAATTCAAAGTTTAATATTGCTCTTAAAAAACAGATCTAAAGCTAGAGCTCCTTCTGGATGAGTAAGGCAGTTATGTACATGAGGTTTAAGATAGTTTTGAATCATAATGCCAGTTTCTTCAGCTGAGCTATTTGAATTTGCCCAATAATATATAAATAGATTGTTGTTGCAAAAGAATAAATTAGCTTTGTTAGATATCTTTGTTTCAGTAATACTAGTGATAGAGATATTATGGCTTAGACAATAGTTTTGCTATGCTTCTCTTTTTGTAATAGTATTAAAGCCTCTAACATTGTGTATTGCAATTGTCAAATGTAAATCACGATTTTGATTAGAGTATTGATTAGGAGATATATATGAAGTAGATGTAAAAATAGGTGTGTTGGATTGTGATTTAAGAGGAATATCATGCGAATCATTAGTGGATAGAAT